GTATAATGTATAGTATAAATAAATACACGGGAATTCAAAGAACTGATATTTTTATTTTTTAATGAAATCTATTGAAATAATTTTTAAAGTTTTACACTTAAAAATAATAAAATACACAGTATATTCTGGATTAGATCATACTATTTATTTTATTCAGATTAATATAGTATAATATTAATAATAAACCTAAACATTCTACATACGTATATCTATCTAAAAATACAAACATTATTCAGTGATCGGAGAGATTCGGGTGTACCCTTTCAGAAAAATGTAATGTTCTGACAATGATGGAGGGAGTTGTCTTTGGTTTTGTAAATATACCTATTTTTAAATAATATCAGTCCCTCCTCTAAAAATTAAAGTTAACTCAATATCTTTGTAAATATAGGTATATCAAATACAAATTTCAATTTATTTATAGTTTTAGTTTATAATATATGTCCAAAATTGAGCATGTTTTAAAATCATTGGAAATTAAAAATTCCAAGTCAAAATATGGACTGTGGATTTAAAAAATCCTTAAATGAATATTTGATTTAAGAGTGTTTTTAAATCTCATACATATTCTTAAAATTAATACAAATCAATTTTTGAAGGATTCGGCTCATTTCCTACTTATGAGTCATTTTAATACTTATCTATTTAGTCTTAAATAGTATAAGAGACAATATTAATTGTATTATACAAATAATAAATAAATTAATATTTTTATATACATATCATTTAAATAAAACGTCTTTACAGTTCAGGTGATGTTGATTTTCTTTTTACATATCTTGCAAAATAATCTGGTCTCCAGCATTTRCAACTTCCAGGAATCAAAAACCAGTCATAGTAAAGTCTCACCTAAAAAAAATAAATTTTTATTAATTGCCATTTAATATTATTTTATTTGTTAGTTAAATATACGTTTTTATACCATTATACCTACATATAGAGATTAGAGGTAAAATTTTGTTTTAGTTGTAAGATAATATTTAAGCAACTATCCTTAATAATATTGGTAGGTACCTATTTAAATTAAAACTAGCTCATCGCAAAAATAAAATAAAATACATTTAAAAACTCTATATTTTGTATAAATCAAACAAAAAATACTTGCTTGGAAACATCCGAGTTCGTCAATACCATCACAATGATGCTTTTTCTTCGATGTCGAAGTAGATGATTGAGAAGGCAAAGGATCGGGAGCACCTTGAGTAGCACGTTTATGTAAATATTGTTGGTAGTTTTGAAAGTCTTGTACTGAAGGTGGGTCATCGCCTTGTGCCTGTGTTCTATACATACCTTGTTGTGGTGGTGGTACGGGTAATCTTCGATTGTTAGAAGCAGACGGTAAATACGTGTCTGGATAGTAAACTTCTGCAACCAACAAGCTTACCCATCTTGGTGATGACAGACATCCTCCTTCTATGTAATGACATTTAGTTTGACTAAGAAGGAACCAAATATTTTATTAATTAATAAATATTCATATAAGTACAAATATTATTTAGTATATTTATAAAATTTTGCAAAAATAAAAGTTCTTTAACACGACGATTTTTTTTAAAAAACTTCTCATTTTTAAAAATACCTATTTATATAGTCTTATATTAACATTAAAAATGTACGTACGTGCATTTAGTCACCTCCACTGTTTGGGTGAAATATCCTTCGTACGGAATTTGCACTACATATCGCCACATACCCTGATAGTTCCGCGCAAATACTGGTGTAGCATATTCTACTTTAGCCGGACAGGGAGTGGGTGGCCCATCCATAACACTACCGGCAGTATGAGCCGGGTCGCGTGTTCTATATTCTAATTGTTCAGTTCGTCGTTGAGCCATAAGTCCAGAGAGTGCTTGTCCTTGTATCACTTTATAGAGCATGCAAAATCTGAAGCAAAAAAAATATAAGACAATTGACAATTGTATACATTTTTAAAGAAAAAGTCGGTCATATAATTTGAATTTTAACGAAATTAGGAATTTCCTTTTATATTTGAGATACATATGTTAATTAAGGCCAGTTTTCACAATAACAATTTGATCAAAACTCTTTAAGTTAACTAGCTAAATACAGCTTTTTAAAAAAAAACTGACTAATAAGTAAATAATAAGCTACTATATAGAAAAATGTATTTTAATTTAACTAGGGTCGAGTTTTAAAATTGTAAGTCTTAACTTTTATTCTTGTTTATTATTTATAAAAAAAAATTATTTTATTTTTCAAAATAATTAAAATGAAAATTCCAGTGYAGTCGTACTTAATTCTCATTTCCCGTTTTATACATTAAACTAGATAGAATTAACCAAACTAGGATATGCTATACCACATTATATTATAATATTTATTTTATTTTATTTTTTTGAAAGAATTTATTGTAAAGAAAACATTTATAATACAAGTAAATAATAACATTAATATTAAATTTTACAATAAATTATCTACCTCCCTTAAGCATATGCTTGTGATGGAGGTAGAGAGTTACATTATATAATGATAGACACAAATTTAAATATAATATAATATATTATAATAATTCTTAACCTCTTTCTGTGGTTCTGTTAATGAACTGTCTCCTCTTCACGTTATTCATGTTTTGTATACCCTCTTTGTTATCCCTATTCCTTATTGTTTTCTTTTGTTGTAAAACAGATTGAATATTTAATAAAAGAATAAAAAATAAAACAAAAAAATAAAATAAATAATTCTTAACATGACGTGATGGTGATACCCATGTGCTATTTTGATTGATTCGAATTAGAAGCTTCAATAAGTTACTAACTATAATTTATTCTTACTGAACTAGTAATAATAGTAATAAATTATAATACGTATGTACTATGTAGTCAATAGGCATAAATATAATATGCCGTATTGCCGTCATAGTAATTCTATAAATAAAATAATGTTCAACTACGAGAATAAGCATGTATATTTCAAAATTTGTACACATAATTATTGTTTGTTTTTAAACAAGATACCTAGTAGGTAGGTAGATAATAATAATTTCAAAAATAAATATAATATAACAAGTATCCTACTAACTATATAGGTACCAGTGTAATATAAAATACAATGAAATAAGTTATATACATTTTTATAATTTTTACTACGGATAAAATAAATAATTATATACAGGTATAATGTAAGATGAAATATTTTTTTTTTCTTTTAGCCACATAATTGACAATAGTTTTTAATTTTTGTATAATTTTTGGTAGATTATACTACTAAATATTTAAATTTTTGTACGCTGGTTAATAA